TAGAAAGCTGAGGTCAAAGAACATTGCATCAGTGAAGGTTCAATGGCGGGGTCAGCCGGTCGAGGAGGCGACCTAGGAGACCGAGCAGGATATGCGCAGTTGTTACCCTCATCTTTTCACTACTTCAGGTATATCTCTATGCTCGTTCGAGGACGAACGAATGTTTAAGTGTAGGAAGATGTGACGATCCGGCCGGTCGTCTTAAGAATTAATGCCCCCATCCCCTATTAACTGTTTTCCCCAAGTTTATTCTGCTATTTTGATTTGTTCGGATGTTCGGTTTTGAGTTCCGGAGAGTTTTAGGACACTTAGTCCCTAAATGAGAGCTTATGTGTTGGAAAAGTGACCTTAGTCAGAATAGTATGGAGACGGCCTCGGAACGGAAATCTGATGGTTCTGTTAGCTCCGTTGGGTGATTTCGGGGTTAGGAGCGTGTTCGGATTGTGTTTTGGAGCTCCATAGCAAATTTAGGCTTGAAATGCCGAAAGTTAAATTTTGGAAGTTTCTGGTTCGATAGTGAGATTTTGATCCAAGGGCCGGAAGGGAATTCTGAGAGTTGCAGTAGTTTCGTTATGTCATTTGGGATGTGTGTGCAAAATTTCAGGTCATTCGGACGTGTTTTGGTTGGGTTTTTGATTGAAAGTGGAATTCAGAAGATTTTAGAAACTTAGGCTTGAATCCGATGCGTTTTAGTTGTTTTGATGTTGTTTGCGGTGTTTTGAAGATTTGTACAAGTATGAATAAGGTTTTTGGATATGTTGATTCCTTTGGTTGAGGTCCCGGGGACCTCGGGATGAATTCGAATGGTTAACGGAGGAAATTTTGGAGTTGAAGTTGCTGCAGCAGCTGGTCTTCTGGTATTTTCGCATCTGTGGTTTGGGGACCGTAGATGCGGCACCGCAGAAGTGGCTAAAGGGCCGCAGAAGCGGTTTTGTGTCAATTCCTTAGGAACGGCGGATGCGGTAAAGGGCTCGCAGAAGTGGAACCGCTCCTGCGGTTAGAGGTCCGCAGATGTAGAAGCTGGTATTTTAATGAAAGTCGCAAATGCGATGTTGTGTCCACAGAAGCGGGACCACAGATGCGGTCCCAGGGCCGCAAATGCGGAAATCGCTGGGCAGAAGATATAAATAGTTGCCTTCGCGAATTTGAGGGATTCTTTCACTATTTTCATCCGAGTTTGAAGCTTTTTAGAGAGATATTTTAGGAAAACAAAGGGGAATTACTTGGAGGTAACGTCCATGACTTCATAACTTATTTTTATGTGATTAAAGACCTAATTAGTGGTGAGAAATTTGGGAAAAATGGGTAATTATGGCTTGAGTTTAAGAGGCCTTTATTTGAGTATTTGAGGGGTCATTTGAACTCTGATTTCAGTGTTCTTGTTATGTATAAACTCGTGAGAGTACGCGGTTTCTGAAAATATAAATTTCACCCAATTCCGAGATGTGGGCTTGAGGGGCATTTTGATCATTTTACATAATTTCGCGTATTAGCTTAGAATTTAATTGTAGAATCAGTTACTTGAAGTGTTATTTACATTATGCAATTGAATTGAATAGATTTAGGTCATTTGGAGTCGAGTACTCATGGCAAAGACGTGGTGTTGGGTTGATTTTGAGTCGGTTCGAGGTAAGTGGCTTGTCTAACCTTGTGTGGGGGACCTTTCCCTTAGAATTGGTATATTTAGTAATTGAAATGCCTTGTACATGAGGTGACGAGTGCGTACTTGTGCTAATTGTTAGAAATCCGATTTTCTTTATGTACTTACTAGTATGTTTCCTTTCCTATTTCTACTACTTGCACTATTAAGCCTGTTGTTAGCTTAGGAAAGCATGTCTAAGTGACTTAATTGCTTCATTTGATTTAACCTGCCTTACTTGAATTATGTGCAGCATGCTAGGCTAGAATCACTTATTGCCTTAATATGAATTTCGCTATTTCTATTTATCTTCCTACTGCTGCTGTGTATTTATTTTGGGACTACGGATGTGGGATTTCGGTAGCTCCGCCTTGTCTGTTTACTTTGGGACTACGGATTAGATTTTCGGTAGATCCCCCTACATAGTTATATGGAACTACAGGAATGCACCCGGTAGATTTCCCCAGTACTAGGTATTTACATTTGGGACTACGCAAAGGGATTTCGGTAGATCCCCGCGCATTATGAGTTGGACTATGGGACGGAATCCTGGGAGATCCTTCGGACATATATATGATGGACTACGGGACTGTATCCCGGGAGATTCACTGGATATGTAAAGATGGGACTACAGGACGGTATCCTAGGAGATCCCCGATTGTTACTATTGGTGTTGAGCTGTATTTCCTTTCCATGTTTACCGTGTTCTGTATAATTGTTGTTGTTCTGTATATCCTATGTTATTTTACTGCTGTACTTATTTATACTATTCTATCCTATACTGTTGATCTTTATATTTGTTTAACCTCAGTAGGGCCCTGACCTTCCTTGTCACTACCCAACCGAGGTTAGGCTTGGCATTTACTGAGTACCGTTGTGGTGTACTCATGCCCCTTCTGCGCATGTCTTTCATGAGCAGATTCAAGTACCGTTGATCAGGGCTACCATCCTTGATGGAGGCGACTACTTAGAGACTTCGAGGTACATCTGCCCCGTCCGCAGACATAGGAGTCCCTTTCTATTCCTGCTTTTTAGTATTTAGCCCTTCTGTACTTTCTGTTCTCATTAGACAAATTTCGGAGTTAGAGCTATGTATATTTCCTTTTCTTAGCTTGTGATTCGTGGGTTTCCGGGTCTTGGATTTAGATATTGATTTTTGAGACTTATATATGGTGTATGCCGAGCGGCACATTTAAACACTATTACTGTTTTATTTTTAAATTGCTTTACTTCCGCAAGTTTGGTTATCTTTCGTAATTTAGGCTTATCTAGTCGTAGAGACTAGGTGTTGTCACGATGGTTCACGGAGGGCGAACCGGGGTCGTGACAGTTTGAAGATTTAAAGACAGAATACGAAGGTTTGAAAGAACGAGTTTGAAGGATCAAGAACGGAGTATGAAGATTTGAAAGAAGTCTGATTAAAATCCTGGAAATCACTATGAAGATTTAAAGATCAAAAGATGGAGGTATGAAGGTGTGAAAGAACTTTGATGATAGTTGGGAAGCTCGAAAGTAAAAGCTTGGTCGAAAAGTAGAAAAAGATTAAAGGATGGAAGTTTCTATAGAGAAGTAGGCGACATTTCGCATTCGAGGGCAACCAACCGATTATTAACATGTGTCCAAAGTCAAAACGATGCGACTGATAGGATGTTTCAGCTCCTTCGCTGAAACGTACGGAGGAAGAAATCGGAGAACAACTATCGTTTTTCATCGTTTCGGCAAACCTATTCTCTGAGAAACAAGGGGACTGTCAGTACACGGGTAAAACCGAGGATAGTGAGTACCCTGATTTTTCGGTGAGGCAAACGAAGCAAGGACATGACTGCAGGAAATTGAAATCGAAGCTAGGAGCCTCTCACATCAAGGCCCAAGCAAAACACCTGCCTCGAAGCCATTGAGACCATGCCCCGGGTCTGGTTCGAGTTCCAAGACCTCAGCGAGCATTACCGAATGACCACCCACTATTAATAAAGGGTCGTGATATCCATGTCCAACCGGATATCACGGCGTGCCCATATCAGCAGTAAATCAGTGATTAGTGAAAAGGAAGATTTTTACCTTTTTTTAGAATTGTAGATAGGGTAAAACTCCCCTACTATATATAAGAAAATATGATTATCAATTAAACACTCTATAACATGCATACCAAGGCAACATACATCTATTTTTCTCTGTTTCTAAAGGTTATTTAAAGTTCTTGTTTTGGTTCATAAGTTCTTCATAAACATTGGTTCAAAACCGAAGGCGAGCTTCTTGTTAAGCCTTTAACCAAGCCCGGATTCAGTATCATCATTGGTTTTGTTATTTACTCTATCTTTTAATTGCTTATCTAACGTCACAAATCATTTGCACTGGATTAACCCATGTATCTTTAAAACTGCATATAAATTCAAGTGTTATCCGTTTTTAAGGGTAAACAATATTAATTACCCTACTATCGCATTAAGAATCACTAATAGTGCAAAATGATATTTACATTATTAATGTGTATTTCTTAAATCAAAATATTTTAAAAGTGATGTAAAAATCTCATGTTTTTCTTTCACTAGCCGATGTATGGTGATCATATATGTGTATGAACATTTGTCAAGGATTCGATCTCGCTAGATGGCCTCGGCAGAGAATATATATATATATATATACTAACTTTAGGGTACATATTAGTGAGATATAAATTTTAAAAAATTTATATAATATTATTTCCTTATTTCAATTTACATAACACATGTTTCTTATTAAAAAAAATGGATAGATAGATAGATAGATAGATAGATAGATAGATAGATACATTTGTAGACATGTAATTTTTGACTCACGCATTAAAATCACCTCTAATAGTCCTAGTATTTTTAGGCTATTTACTTGGGTTTATTTATATAGGATTTTACTTTATTACTAATTTTAATTCTGTTTTAAGGCACAAAAAAATTGAAAAAAAAAATACAAAAATAGTTTCACTTTCTATTTAATTCAGTATTAGGTATTTTTAGAAAGATATATTACTTTTAGCATATTTCAATCCTAATATAATCTTTGAAAATACCAAAAATAGTTTCAACTTTAATTTTTAGTTTTATTTTTAATACTAATAGTTTATCAAAATTAATTTAGAGTTTTTATAGGTATTTAATTTGAATTTTCAGTCCTTTTTGGCCCAATTTCGCACATTTTTGAAGCCCAAATCAGCAACCCAACACCCCTGACCTATTTTTAACCCAAACGACCCATATACCCGCCCATTCCCCCTCTAAATCGTAGCCATTCATATCATATAATCCAATGGCCCATGTCTTATCCCACCCCCCATATAAATACGACCTTATAACCCAAATCCCTAACCCTAAAGACTACCCAAATCAGCGCCCCCCCCCCCTTTTTCCAGCCTCTGCCCACCTCCAAACTCGCCGGAATCGGCCGGGTTAACTCATGGTCCCCCTTTTCCTTCTCTCTTTTTTCACGTGGCCTGAAAAATAACCGATTTTGATTCGAATCCGCGTCTTGTTTTGCTCTCTCACACGTGAATCTCTTTCAACGGTAGATGATGGACGAAGGGTAGGATATGATTAATAAAATTAATCATACCCCTCCATTTGTCCAGATTTTTACCAAAAAGAAGGAGATTTTCAAAATTTTAGTGGAATTTTCGGATTTTTGAAGGATTTTTGCGATTTCTTGCAAAGGAAGAAGAGAAGCTTCGGGAGAGGGCTATATATTTGTGTCTGGACAGAGATTGTGTGTGTGGGGGGGGGTTCTTCGAAGTGGGTTTTTCCTTTCATCATTCTATTTTTCAGATTTTTCGTGTGTTTTGGCTTTAATTCAAAAAAAAAAAAAAAGATTTTCTGATTACTTATTTTAATTTCGGACTTCTGTTTCCTCTTCCAACATTTTGGTTGTGATTCTTAAATATGGAGTTAAACTGAAATGTTGAGGAGTCGAGGTTTGCCTGCCGGTTCGGAGTTTGCAGTTCTAATTGGGTGTTCGCTAACCCAGTCGCTGTTATTTTGTTCTATTTCCTGTTCGAGTTCGGTTGTCGAAGTTCTAACGAAGTTGTAATCGTTGGAGAATTGAATATATTGGAAAGCTGTGATTTCAGGTTCATCTCTTTCCTTTTTCTCTTTACTTTGTATATGATGGATTAAATTATGAAAAGATCTTTGGGGTTTAGTCGGATTTAAGGTCATAGAATTGGTTAACTTGTGTAAAGATGACTGCCATGCTTTCATTGCTCATATGAGCAGTTAGGTGCCACAGGTTAATTTAAATGATTTTTCCCTCACTGTTTGAGTATGCTCATATCCGTTTAAGGCTTAAGTGTTAATGGGTTAAGTTTTGTTTGATTCTGGAATTGCTCAGAAGTAGTATCTTCCTTAATATATGATGTTTTCTCGAATATTGAGTGAATTACTCATTTTATGGGGTTATCATGTGTTTTGGATTGAAATTCATGAGTGAATATCCTTTGTGTCCACCTTAAGTGTCCTTTGTTTTAAAAGAAAATTATTGGTTAAGGTTTGGCATGTGCATTTTTGCCTCTGCTATTCACGTTAATTTGGAGTGCAGTCACTCAAGCTCATATGATTTAAGCTAGTCATTTTAAGTCATGAATTAGCTTTTATTTGAAGCAACACTAATCTACTATTGTATTGGACCCTCACAATTGACAGTGCTAATGTGAACAATTTTGTGTTGAAAGGGTGTCATACCTGCACATTCGGTGTATTCCCTGTGAATAGTTGGAATTGCTCCTTCATGTTAGGATAAGTTTTATTTCTTTAGAGATAATAACAATGCATTGAGAATTCTTTCTAGCATACAATCTTTATTTGTACTAATTTGTATTGTTTGGGTATGCGAACTTGGCTATTAGTGAGGTTAAGGCTAAAAGAATCTTGCTGCAATTCGGCCTTAAATTGAGGAATGTGATGTGCAAATAGGTTTAGCGAAACTCCAAGTGGCCCTTATCGTAATTTAATCCATCATATATTTATCTTATTGTCACTTTGTTGGCTCTGTTCCCGTGTGATTTGGGTCTCGTTTTTCTTGGCTTATCTGTTTGTTTGAATGATTGTTGGGTCATGGGTGGGAGAATGACCAAAGCCCATTAGTAACTAATTACTCTCATGTCTTAGGATTGGGTTCGGTCAAATGCATGAAATAAGAAGTTAAAAATAAAACATGAGCATGGTTTCGAGTTTTCTTTTATGTAGTTATTTCATTTACTTTATTTTATGCATTGTCCGTTAGGAGCTTGCTTAGGCCGATCACATTCGGGTAGGCAAGCCTTAGAATTTTGTTTAGATTTTGAGGTGAGAGGTTGTTCCTTAGTTCAATTTATCCGGGGAATGCTTCGAAAGACTTGTATATATTTTATTCCGGGGAATGCCCCGTAGAACTTGTATTTGGAGGCCAAGGTAGAGCTTATAGTATTTTGTTTTATTTTTATTTTTATTTTTTTATTTGGAGGGGACGACCTCGAGCCCTTTTGTGTGTTTATTTTTGTTGTGTTTGTTTACCTCAATTCGAATATTCTGTAAGCCAACTAGATCGAGTATGCAACCGTACTAGTTACGGGACTCAGGGAGTGCCTAACACCTTCTCCCCGAGTCAAATGAACCCCCTTACCCGAATCTCTGGTGCGGACTTGATTTTAGAGTCTAAAATGTGTTAAAAGGAAAAATTATTTTTTTTAAAAACGGTGACCTAGCACACCGAAATCAAAGTGAGGTGGCGACTCTGAGTTATTTTCCTTTTGAATACAATTTTTGTCACGTTCTAATTGGAAAACCCTTTTCAAGCTTTTTACTAAATCTTTTTTTTAAGAGGGTTAAGTGAGGTTTGTTAAAAAGAGGGGTGTGACATCTCTGGTGACTCCGCTGGGGATTTGCAGGTTCGAGCTAGTACTTGATTTTGTTGGCTTTTTAGAATATTCGGTTGAGATTTTTTTTTATGTTTTCTTTATTTGCTTTATTTGATTTATTTTTGTTTATGTCGCTTTATTTGCTAGTTGTTTTATGTGTTTACTGTTTTCTTTTTATGTGTTTACTGCTTTATAACTGTCATCATATGCATTACCCGGTCAATTCTTTCTGCAACAAATTTTGGAGTACGCGTCGCATACACGAAATCTTCATTGAGTCACCCTTATTTTAGGAGGGGGGGCCGTCAGACGTATGGAGTGGGTGGAAAGCTTGAGCAGCCACCATCGACCATACGCTCCCCCGAATTGCCTTGTTAGTGAACCCCAAACTTAAGTCAGCCTTTAGGTCATTCTTATTTGCATCATGTCATTTAAACCTAGCAGGGCTCGGTCCCAAGTACCGTGTCCCGTTGTAGGAAGCCTATCCAAATTATGTCAAAAATGGGCACGTGGCCCAAAATGACATTTAATCATCCTATGTGCTAAATGTTGCATTTGTGAGGGTAGAAAGGTCATTTGGCGAACCGATGCTTGGGAAAGAAGGGTGAAAGATGAAGCAAATTGGGCCCACTCGCATTTTTCTTTCATAGTTTTCCAAAAATCAAAAATGAAAATGACAAGAAAAAGAAAATCCAAAAAGATTTTACACTTTCCCAGCATTTTCCAAAAAAAAAAAGAGAAAAAGAAAATCCACAAAGATTTTACATTTTGCATCATTTTTCAAAAGGACAAAAAAAATATAGTTTTTACAAATTAGTTGCATTTTTTAAAAAAAGCTTTCTCCCATTTCCAATCCTCTCCCGAACTATGCATACCTGATTCTCGTCTTTCGGGGTAAGATACGTAGGCAACCCACATAGGGTCCGGTCTTCCTAGTAAGTCTTAGGTTTTTGGCTTTGCGAGGACTTAGCCATATCTTGCATGTTTAGCCACTTTTGGCCACATCGGTCATTCTTGCAAAATAGGGTTATTTTCGCAAAAGTGGTTCAATTACCCATGTCTTAGGGTCTTGAGTCTACAACTCGGTGTCATATCACTTTAAGGTCCAACCATGTCGTATTTGCGTCCCTAGCCACATTCGGCCAGTTTTGCAAAATGGGCCATTTCTGCAAAGTAATTTTTAAGGCCCTGATCATTGGGATGTTGGAGTCATGTAAGCTTCAAATGGAGTATTTTTCATGCATTAGGGGTCAACTTTGTCAAGTTTTCACTAACAGCCACTTTCAGCCACTTAGGCCATTTTGCAAAATATAGCCAAATCATGTCTTGCATTTGTCCACTAGGAAATATTGTGGTGTCACGTAGTGTCCCAAGTCACTAACCATGTCCTCTTCACTCAGGTATGGAACCGCTGGTTCGATCCAAAGTGCTGATGGTAGTAAAGATTCCTAGGAAATTAATCAGGTGGTGGAAAATGTTTTCATTGTTAGAGCAACATGAGTTAATGCACAAATTGGGCACCCTAACTTCCCTTTTTGATATCACACCTCGCCCAAACATAGTGGAGGCGATGCTGACTTATTGGGATCCGCAAAATTTGATTTTCAGATTTGGAGAATGTGAGAAAACCCCTACCTTGGCAGAAATGTCTGGTCTCACTCGTTTAAGCTATATAGGCAAGGACATGATACTTCCCCGAGACCATTCTAGGACAAGACTCCTCAGCAACCTGGGCCTGAAAGATAACAAGCATTTAAAATGCCTCGAGCAGTCTTGGATATCCTTGGATTATTTGTTTGCTAGATTTGGACCACAAGATAGTTTTGACGTCTTTTGGGATGAGTTCTGCACAACTAAGGCAAAGTGGCAAAGACGTCGCCTCGAAGCTTTCAGCCTTGCTTTGTTGGGATTATTGGTTTTTCCATTAGATGAGAGGCACATTAGCACCCCTCTACAGTCAGTGGTAATGGCATTATTTCATGAGAAGCAATGCAAAACCGTTACCGTTGTGCCGATGATCTTAGCAGAGTTGTACCGAGCCCTGAATGAGGTTATAGGATGTATATGGTATTTTGAGGGAAGTAACCTTTTGCTACAATTGTGGATGATGGAGAATTTGCACACCGCTTCCTTACTTTGTCCTATCGATCGTGCCTTGAGGGATCGGGTAGTATGCATCGAGCGTAGGATGAAATCTCCTAAGTTTACATACCCAATAGGCGTCACATCTTGGATTGAGTTCCTTGGTTCGAGGACAAATGGGAATGTTTTGTGGGCTTACCTTTGGCTACCTTTAGATGATATCTTGGTAGGATGCCTCATGCAGCCTTTCCTGATGCTGATAGGACTCAAGAGTGTCAGGTCGTACACTCCCGTTAGGATAATGCGATAGTTGGGCATAAGACTAGAGGAGCCTCCAACTTTAAATCTTCGGAGACACATCATGAATTTTAGCAAAAAAGCGGCTGACGAAATCAAGTACGTGCAATACTGGAACAATGCAAAGAGGATGAAGAAAATTACATTAGTAGAGGACGTTGGCAGGCCCGAGTGTACTCAGGAGTACCTGATTTGGTTACAGTCCGTCCCACCAGGGGTCAGCACCCCATTGCCAGCACAACTTAGGGGTCGGGCAGTTCAGACAGATGATTTTGAGGAGGCATCAGACCAAGATCCTTGGGATAAGCTTGAGTTAATAAAGTCTCCATTAACGGGATTGGTAGCAAACGTGGAGCAACATGGCCAGTATTTGTTTAGGGTCGCCCTTCAGGATGCGGGGGCACACGCCAAGGCCTTTATTTCCGGCATCGGTGTTTCTTTATGAGGCATATTACAGAGTTTGAGCATGACGGACAGCCCAGGACCATCCCAACCAGGACCGTCGCATTCAGGAGCAGCTTGAGGAGTCATTCTATTTAGGTGTTTTGAGATTGTCTTATGTTGTCTTTTACTTTCGTGTCTTGTCTAGGAGTACCAAGTCCTTTAGGTAGTGTCAAAGTTTGTCGTAGTGTAGTTGAGTCTGTCATGTCTTTCATTATCGTACTTCCCATTATATTTTAATATCGAAAAGTTTTTAAATGAAAATCCCAAAAAGATTTTATTTTATTTTCTACCACTCTTCCAGAACTACGCTTGGTCTGATTCATGAGGGACATGATACGTAGGCAACCTACAGCGAGTTCGATCAAATCATTTTGGGTTGAAACAAAAAAACAAAAAAAAGGGAAAAAAGTGATAAGAGGTGTTGGAAAAGAAAGAGAAGGAAGGATTGAAATGAGCAATTGGGATGATGCCATATGACCCTGCGACCCTTAAAGCCATTTTAGAACCGTTAATTATTGTTAGGTGCATTGCACGTAACGTGATATTATTATTTGATAGATGCCCTAACGCTAACATGGTGGTTTTGTGTTGTTGTCCTCTGTTATCTTTGTTTAATAATAGGAAGGTGGTTAGTTTGTTGGCATCCTGGCAAGTCATCCATACAACACCCGATCAAAGCGTCAAACAGTCATGGCTAGCAAGGAAACAAACACTGGAGTTGTAGACCTACCAAGGGAGATTGTTGAGTCGGAATCGGAACTGCAAGAGGAGGTCCGGAGGTTGAAGCATCAGATGGCGGAAATGTATCAAGACTGGATTAAGGGGCACCATCCACCCTCGTTCCCTACCAACTACACACAAAACCTTGCTTCCATTCCACCACTCTCTCAATCCCAGACGTCCAATACCATTGATCTTTCCCCACAACACGCACCTGGCTTTACCCCTTACCACAACCATCCCAGCACTTTGGCCCAAACTTTTCATGCTCCACCAGCCAAAACAACCTCGTACCCTGCTCCGACATCTACTCCTATTTTTGTATCCCCTCTACAAGATACCCTCCAACGATCCTCTAGTGAACCCGCATTCCCAGCTCCTGATGCCCCCTACTATGCACTGGAGCCCACCTTCAAAGTCCCAGATCCTTACTCTTACACCCCCCCCCC